GTGCAGCTTTCTTTCATGCCACGACACCATGTCATGCACTGACCACCTCCGCTTTTTCCAACCAGTCCCAGCGTCGGCAGATAATGCACGACGTGGAATTCTGTGGGACGACATTCGTAGAACATGTCCAAGTCATCGAAGTCAGTGTTTCAAAATGGTGACCAATTGAATTTTCACCGCTGTGCCCCGAACATGCGTTGTCGAACCTCTGCGTTATCAACGTGGTGTTGCCACTAGATGTCAACAATCCTTCGGAGACAACGATGATGAACCAGAGAGAGTCGTCTAACATCCTCAACTCGAAGAGACCAGGTTTCACAAGCATAGAGCAAAACTGCTCTCACCGACACATTATGGATCTGACCTTCAACAGGCAACCTGACATCAGGAATGAGCCAGAAATTGCCCAGGTTGGCATAAATCTATCTGCTTACTAGCAGTGGTAAGTGCATGTACAGGGTCTTGCTAGTCGTGTAAAAGTACTCTGCACTTAGAAGGTAGAAAGAACATGCCATACTTACGGACTCTGATTGCCAACTAAATAAGTACGTATTTCATGACTTGGATATCGTCGTACCGTAAGACGATGTCATCTGCATATTCAAGGTCGACAGGTTTTTCTCTAGACGACAGATCCGCACTACCGTTATTTACATCCATCATAGGTGTATTCATCACGTCATCGATGCCCAAGTTGAAGAGGAATGGTGAGATTGGGCAACCATGCCTAACCTCACTACTTGAATGAAACAGTGGGGAGAGTTGGTATTATGCCCATACTCTAAGGTGTTTTTTATAGGGCACATTTTCCTTCAGTACACAATCCAAGGGATTTTATTTATTATTTATTTGAACACAAAAATATTTGTACAAGAGGACACCAAATATATATGCGACACACAAAAGAATGAATATCCGAGGAGAAAAAAAGGTTAGGAGCGTAAAAAAAGAACAATAAAGAACAGATTAGTGTAAGGTAGTGTAATAATAATAATAATAATAATAATAATAATAATAATAATAATAATAATAATAATAATAATAATAATAATAATAGTAATGATGGGGGAAACCTAAACGTACGACCGGAAGAAATCTTTCACTTAAGGAAGAAACAACCATTTTTTAATGAAGAAAGTAAAAGAAGGTTACAGCAGGATCGCCACTGGCTTTTACTCTGAGCCATATCTGATAACGTCTCTAGCCACTGTGTAACACCATCTCTCGGACCCCAGCCAGGAAGTCGTGAAGGACCAACAGAAGCCAGCCAACATAGAAATTCGTAGAACATGTCCAAGCCACTGAAGTCGATATTTCAAGATGGCGACACTAATTGCATTATCGTATCTGCGCCCGAACACACGATGCCGAACCTCTGCATTACTAACATGTTGCCACTGGATGTCAGCAATCCTTCGGAGACAGCGATGATCGAACACAGATAGTCGTCTAACGTCCTCAACTCGGAGAGGCCAGGTTTCACAAACGTAGTGCAAAACTGCTTTCACCGACGCGTTGTAGATCCGACCTTTTACAGCCAGACTAACATCACGAAGGCGCCAAAGGTGGCTCAGGTTGGCATAAGCCGCTCTGGCTTTCACTATACGTGCATTGATCTCATCACTCACACCCCCACCAGCACTTATGCAGCTACCCAGATACACGAACTTCTCAACTACTTCTATCTGCTCACCATCCAGGGTGAGTACAGGATTGGAATCCTGCCAGTCTTGTAGGAGTACTTTGCACTTCGAAGGTGCAAAGCACATACCATACCTACGGACACTGATTGTCAACTGATTAAGTGCGGATTGCATGCCTTGGGCATTATCGCACAGTAAGACAATATCGCCCGCATACTCAAGGTCGAGAAGTCTTTCTCCAGGCAACAGATCCACACCACCATTACTTACATCCATCAGAGCTGTTTCCAGAATGTCATCGATGGCAAAGTTGAAGAGGAATGGTGAGACTGGGCAACTCTGTCTAACCCCACTGCTTGAATGGAACAATGGAGAAAGGTGGTTGTATGCCTTCAGTCTGCCTGAGGTGTTTGTATATAAAGCCTTTAGGATGTTAATAAACTTCTCAGGTAAACCCTTCTTCAATAGACAATCTCAGAGAACAGTCCTGTCCAACGAAACGAAGGCAGCCTTGATGTCAAGAAACACTACGATTGTTGGCCTTTGATAAGTATGACGGTGTTCTAACATTTGGCGGAGGTTGAAGATATGATCAATATATCCTCGACCGGGACGAAAACCAGCCTGCTCCTAGCGAATCAATCTTTCTCGGGTTTTGAAAAACCTACGAAGCAGGATGGAAGTCAATAATTTTGACACGATCGGAAGTAGACTTGTCCCCCGATAGTTGTTACAGGAACGACGTGAACCGTTTTTAAAGATAGGGACAACTATCGACTCATTCCATGAAGTTGGTACACTCTCTAGTTCCCAGACCTTTGTAAACAACGTCGTCAATTCCTTAGTCAAAAAGTCACCACGATCTTAAAAAGAGCCTGAGGTAAGTCATCTGGGCCCGGTGATTTGTAGCGTTTTATGGGTTGTAGTTCCTTGAGGACTTCCATCTCATATGGTGGATCAGTCGTCACCGGCCATGGAGGGCAGGACAGTCTGACCGATGTTGCCGGAGCATCAAGCCAGTTGAACTGCCCTTCGAAGAATTCTGTCCATCTTCCAAGACGATGGATGTTATTGATTGGCATTTCGTCATCCTCACAGATTATTTCGCTCACACCAGACTTCTTGCTGCCAGTGGCTCGGATGAGATGTAAGAGCTTCCGGTAGTTAGCAGATGCGGCTGCTGCTTTCACCTCATTAGCACCGACTGTTAATGGGTATCCAATCGATTAGTGCTGCCTCAGCTCCAGCGCTTAGCACGACACCAACGCCAGCAAGACCAGATGAAGATGCCACAGGGTCCCTGGATAAGCGCACGTAAAACAAGCTTTTCGAAGCTACAGATGAAGAGCGAATTTGTAGTACTTCACCAGAGGCTTAAATACGGGTCTCGGATAGAGGGCAGACGTCGGTATTAAGACTTTCTGAAGATATAGGCAGCTCTATCTGTTGTCCGACCTGCATAAGTGTGCGAACGTTGAAGGCAGCCAGTTTGAATGGTGCACGTGGTTTCAGTATTCGTATTCGGTGGTAGTATTCAACTTCCGACTAGTCAGTGACTTGAGATTGTTTAGTTAGGACAGGGTTTCCACCATGGGCGAGCTGCTGTATCGGTTAAAAATAAAATTCGCAAAACGAAAATAAAGGGGAATACATAAATGCCTTAGTATAAAAGAAGTAAATACGAACGTTATCATATGATCGTGAATAGGATTTGTCCGAGCGAGCATTGAAGCAATAGGAAATTTTCCAATCGTAGTTATCATTGATTTGTGTGACGACTGTGATACTGCCCGGGCCCCCAAACTGAAGCAGTGGGTATTTCAGGGAACCACTTCCCGAGCCTTTGACCTAAAGGTTTAATCCACAAGGCAGTGGAGCAACGTTAAGCGATGCAGTCCCATGGTGGCCAGTGACCAACAACAGTCTCATACGCCGTTTGTTTCTTTATGATCCCGGAGCCCTTGTGCACCATTGGTTTGGAATCAGGGTTTTCCAACTCCGCTAGGTGGATCCTGCGTGTCCACTAATCTGGTGAAAATGCCAGACATTCGCTTTTCGTTCTCTTGATTTTGTAAACAGCAACCTCGCTTCGAGAAGGCAATGAGTAGGACTTCCCTGACAGTTGCTGTATGCACGTGGTTATGTGAGTACATTTCGAGAAGGAGAGCAGACTCTCTTCACCCTCGGTCGTATCAGGGCATTTGGAGGTAAGTGCCATGTACCACAGTTGATTCAACTGAGTACACAAATATGTATGTGTTCACTAACTAACTAGCGTACTCACATCCTGCAGATTCAGCTTTTTTAGAGCTTAACGTACTAACATCTAAAGATATTTTCTGGTTTAGTGTTTGATCAACCCATTCACACTTTTTGTATATCTTTTCCTATTTTCGTATGACCCGACGCTGTTTGTAGTTCGATATCGCGATTATGTTTTTATTTATTTGTGTTTTCGCTTACATTCTTTTGGGTATTCCAGTTGAGAACTCTCAATTCCTCTCCTTTATCCTCTGTTCGGATAATTTAATAAGTGTGTAGATTACAGTCATTTTCTATCTTACTTGTTATACTCCTTCAGTACGTAACGAATTTGAGCATATTATTAAAGCAGCTATTACAGAAGTGCTCAAACTTTTTGACAATCCCCGTCAAGAATGACTGTATATACTATTTTCCATCTTTTTTGTGAGGAAACTGCATGTATATGGTTCAAACAACATTACATATGATTACTAATCGCCATTTAATATTGTGCAACTTCAATGCCGTCGTTGTTACCAAAAAAGGTTTGCTATATGGGAAAGAATCATGATACATTTGATATTCATCTTCTTCATATCCCAAATATGTCACAATTTATATCAAATTCTATGCAATAATCAACTGTCTGACGTTTCTTTAATATAATCCTATGTCATACCTTACTGACTTTTTAATGTGTCAAACGATTTTTTGATCACTTGAATTGTACCCGTTCAGCTCAAGTAATGTTACTCTAATCCACATGAAGTGTTCTTGATCAGTCATAAATTTTTGTGATTCATGCTTATCTGATTAATAATGACTTTTGACCTGATTCAGTAGTATACTGGTACGAATTACTACAATTTCCTTCAGCAAATTAAGGGAAAATAAGCAAAGAAGTGACTATCAATAAAAGTAAGTTGAAAATAAGGAAATAAAAATATAAAAACCAAGTCACAATAAAGTATGAAGTATGTATAATAGTTTTATTCATGTACATCTTGATGTTGATTGGCAGTTTGTAGCGTAGGGTGTATTTTTCGAATCCTTTACTTTTTATTACGTTTGATATAAAGAAAAGTCATTGTATACTGTGCTCTCTCATTTCAGAGAAGACAGTTGCTTCCATAATGGCAATTCCTGATGAAGTATTTGATCTTGTTTCAAAAGTTTCGAATGGAAATGGAAATATGGAGGATTATGAACGCATTTGTTTGATTCTATCTAATCTGACAACTACAGAACTGAGTTCTGTTTTTCAAAAATGTGATATTTTAAAAGCATTGATGTCGATTGATTTACATGACAAGTTTGTTTAATCTTCTACGCAATAATCGTTTTGCTTTTAGACAGTCTGCTCAAATTGCGATTAAATTAGCTTCCATTGTATTCTCCCTCATACCTTTATTTGACTTTGTTCAATCTCACCAAGAAGAGCTGCTTTTAATACTTGAATCGACGAAACTCGATTTGATTGAGTTTATTTTGAAAAGGGTAATCGCATCCTTACATTTCAGTTATGCATGAAGCTAAGAGCTGGTGTAGTTGAACCTAGTTGTTCAGTAGACAATCTACCGGAATGCATTTTAAAGTCAATAACTAGATTAGTTCTTCATGAAAAACTTTCTTTATCTATGGAAGCCCAAAATTTCCTGATAACTTTGGGTAACAACAAAAAATGAAACATTCTAATCGTATACTTTAGCTACAAAATGTCCTCTTGGTTTAAAAAGCGTTTTAGGGCCCAATGTAGTCGGTGCATTAAATCCACTGTGTTCTAAATCTGAGCATTTAATAAGAGTTTCTGAAGTAAGTTGTCAAAAACTTTATTTTGTGAATTAAGTTTGCTGTACATCTGGTTTCCAAACAACCTGAAGTGTTCAAAGACGTTGAAAATTCTGGTTTGTTTCAACCTATTTTGGATGGTTTAAATTCAAGAGATCCTCTAGTCCGCTTGAACTGGTTAGAATTAGGGAAATTGTTGACTGTTTCAGAGATGGGTTATCACTTTCTGAATAGGCAAGGTGTGTTCTCTAGATTATTGGACGATTTGTATTCTTCTGCTTCGGATCCATTAGGTGATTTACTACTTCCAGGTGAGTTTGAATATATGGTTTTTTCGGAAAATCCAAGAACTTGGAGAGTATATCTAATTTCTACATAATCAACACAACTATTAAAATAATTAATTGCTTCATCAGTATTAAAATCAGCGCATTTGCGATACAGAATCCTATTCATTTACCTCTAGATTTTGCAAGAACGCAAATAGTTCTCTTATCGTGACCACACTGCCCAAAATTTATTAGTGCGATTATAACCTATCTAATCCACCTACATAAGTTGTGGAAAGACGAATAGTGTTAGGAAAAAGATAGTAAGAGATCCTACAGACAAACATACACATGTGAGACGTTAAACGTAGAGAAAATATGTATCAGTGTGAGTTATCACACCTTAAATCAGTTCAATATAAATAAACAAACAAACAAAATGAAAATCTTACTGCTAACAAACAGTAAAATGAAGAACAACAAGAACAAACGTTAGAAGAGACAAATAAAATTATGGTCAAAACTTGTCTAATAATATTATGTTCAGGATATATAGAATAATAACTGTAGCTGTCTGATTTACGGTCGTTTGAATAAAAGCCACCAACCTTAGGTTTTGATTACTTCACTTGGAATCTAAACCTCTCGATGAGACCTATATCAACAGTTGATGACATCATGTTTTGATGCAATGGCTTGTTATAGGAACCACTAACGCATTTTCAACCTACTTCTGTCCTACTGTTAGTAACACCTTTTGGCGTTTTGTTTCGATGCATCCATAAGAGATAAAGGTTCATGTCTTCACCAACTGATTTATGAAGACATACATAAAATAGAGATTGTATATACATACTAAGACCATTGGTCGATTTAGAGATATCTTTCGAATTGTAACTTTAAGTGGTGTTCGATAGAATAATTCACTATCAGAATTTTTATTTAACTTCTTCATAAGCAATCCTTCGGGGATAACACTTTCTTCGTCTAACTTTCCACGGATTCATCCTTAATTGGCTTAGAATACGCAAATAGGATATTCGTATTTGGTAAGGTTACTGATAAACTGTAGCCTTCTGATTGTCCTGAGATATAATCCGAACATGTTCGGGGCGCGTTTCTCTTCCTCTTAGTTCAAAATATTGCTTCAGGACTGGTTTATGTCATCTCCTAGATTGATCATAGGGTATAAAATTGTCATTTATTATTATTTTGGAAGTCTTATCACTTCTAGTGGGTTGGTGTCTGACAAAATGTATGCATAAATTCAGAAACTAGCTTGGTTTCCAACATGTTCCACTTGTGGCTCAGGCGGAATATTTGTATTCCAACAAAAAGGCGAGTATGCTGTGCAGTAATTTGATCTGCCTTTTTGTGGCTGTAAGATGCAGTCTTAACAAAACATCATCCAGGCAACACGAACCAGATTTAAACTTCTAGATAATATAGTCCTTGTTTTATATCAGACGTAAATGTTTTGTACGAATCCCTATCACCGTCTTTTATGCAACCTGTACTATGTATTATCGTTTTTGGTCTCATGTAATTTGTGATTATTCGCTTTTTTTTGAAAGTAATAGTCTATCAATTTCATTTTTCTTAAAAGGATACATTGGATTTTTTGGTAGTCTTGCTAAGCGAGACCCTGACCATTGGTTAGGGTCAAAAAGCGATGGAAGGTTTAAGAATGTATTATCAGATGCGGTCGATAATAATGCTATCAGTATTTCTATGGTGGCATTTGAATCTATTAGCTGGATAGCGACTACACCAACAGGTCGGATTACCTTAGATAAGTTATTTGGTGAGTATGATTAAAGTTATTTTGTCTCACTTCATTCACTGACGTTAACTGTTAGTTTTACTGTACAGTACTATTTGTTTTCGTGTCAGTTATGATAGTAGTCGCTCTATTCAATACTGTATCTTTCGTTACTGTAAGTAAATTTTTTAATAAATACCCCTTTGTATCACATATTTAAATTACAAACATTTGTAATAATTCGAATCAAATCCATTCGAAATATTTTCACTTTAATACCTAGAGAGATAAATACAGGGTTAATGTCACATTGAGAATACCATTACCCACTGGGGTTCCTTTCCAACTTGAATACTAATTTCTATTATTATACAATCGTAAGTATCATTCATGATGACTGATTTCGTGCCAATCGTCTAAGTATTTAAACCTCAGAAATCAATGGACCATATGGTAAATTCTTCTCAGGTTATTCTAGTCAAAACGTTTGAGCTAGAAACGTCATTTTTAAAAACAATTACTCACTACCATCGTTTTTGGCTGAGAAAAAAGTAAAACATTTTTACGCCATATCGTAGATAAGTTAAGTGATAATTTGATCATTAGTATGTGAACTAGGGGTGTGACAATAAATTATCTATTTGTAAACACAGTGCATTTACTATGCTCATCTGTTTATTGATCAAACCTTTAAGATTCGTCCAATTTTGATTTTAGCTAAAGGTGGCTCATTTGATAGTGTTTTGAACAAGCTTTTTATATTTATTTCCAATTCACCAACTGAGATATGCACTAGAGCTGTCGAATGCTATAGTTTTCTTCTACGTCGACCTGATGGGATAGATTCAGAAGGCTTATTTGCCGATGCTGTACTTTCTCTTAACTGGGCAATAATTTCTTGTCAAAAAAGCATTGATACAACAAATTCCAATTCAGTTGAAGATAAAGAATTATTAATTGCTCCACTACTGAAACGCCTTTATTCTCTTGCAACTCAACCATTTTTTGAGGTGCGTGTAGCAGTATTCAATGCTATCGATGCGATTGTAACGCAGGTAGGTTTTGCAATTTATTGTTTACTTCATTTTTCTGCGTATTCATTTCTATGTATTGATTTAATTTATTGTGATCATGTACGTGTTTTTGCATTCAGTCATGACCCACCAAAGTAGAATAAGTGAAGTTGGGATCTGTTACTAACTGCCTCAGCCAGTATGTTACTATTCCAGTCACTTGGATCGTTGAGTGAACTTTTATCCCTGAAGTTTAAAGTTTACGGAGAGTATAAAAGCCTAAATTCAGGATATTGTCTTTTTTATCACCGACCATCTAATTCAGTCTATAACAAATACAAATAATAAAAACAAGATAGTAAATGTTCTTATTGTAGCTACATATCGGTACTCCTATATTTCGTATATCAATAGACTGGAGAACCGTTATTACTATCACTCCCAACAGTGTATAGTTTCCAGAAGCCAAAACGAAGTGATCGGAACAGGTTATTCTAAACGCAGTTCAAATTAAGCGACAAAGCACAAAGTAAAAAAGGTGATTTAGTGAAAATAGCTTAACAAGCAAATATGTATGCGTATGCAGATGAATCATCAAGCGTTTAAGAGTGTTAGAGAAATACATAGGCTGCCACATTCAATCAATCATATGTGGCAATTTATACAAACATGATGATATTTATGAATATATAGTCGAATTATTTCGGACTAGAATAATTCTGCCAAATAGGTCAGTTCAAGGGCTTAGTTAATATGAATATATACATTAGCTTTTTTGAGGGTAAGACTATTATAAAGATCTACCCCTGAGAACATAAATACAAATCAGGGTGTCCACATCCGAAAAACAATAAATACAGTAAACAGAACAGAATACGAATGGTGTATAGAAATGATAAACACAATAGCACTAATTTCAACAGTTGAGATCATGAGTCGATTGAAGTAGACCACCATGAAAAATCTGGAAGCACTGGACGGCCGTTTCGTCCTATTGTGGGACTCCTCAATTGACTCATGATCTCAACTGTTGAAATTACTACAATCTCCACAAAACCTCCTCTGATACAATAGTATTAATCATTAAAAATCAGTCTACATACTTAAAATCACAATATTGGAAATGTTCTTATGGATAAGGATTAATAAAACGGTAATAAATATGAAGGAATTATAAAATTTATTCAAATGGTAGAATATTTGTACGGCAAATAATATGAAAATTGTAGAAGAAAAGATTGACACTCAAAGTTGCGTAATCACAACACCAAAGAATGGATTGACTATAAGATAAAAATGTTTGAATCTCATATAAAACTTAAAGTATGAAAAGAAAGAAAGACAAAACTAAACAAAAACAAACAGAATTCAGCGAAGAAAATTTCCTTTTTGACAAAATCATGTACTTAAGCTGTACATTCGTATTTATAGTTATGTGGTAAATATATGCCTATAAAAGTATTTCATTGGGAAGGAAATTTTCTTCGTTGAATCCTCTTTAATTTAATTCATTGAAACTATGTGTTATTTGAATTAATTTTTAACTAGGAGAAAAGATCACCGGAACAAAACAAAGATGACAACAGTATCTTTTTGAATAAGTTTGGTTTATGTCATTTGATATAAATATCCTACCATTTGAATAAATTTTATAATTCCTTCATATTTATTACCGTTTTATTAATCCTTATCCATAAGAACATTTCCAATATTGTGATTTTAAGTATGTAGACTGATTTTTAATGAATAATACTATTGTGTTTAGGTTATAGGCAACTGTTGGGAAACCATGGAATAAAAAGAATTCAGGTAATTTTGTTACGTTCGTTGTTCTTGCTCTATTTAAATTTATCGTGTTTAAATAAAATAACGAAACTGACTGAAGAATAGGGTGATTCCATTGTATTTCGTTGTTTTCTCTTTAACTAAATACAAGTTATCAAGTTTAACTACTTTAAACTATTAACGTAATTTTAGGTCTGAAAATGAATTGTCCAACAGTAAGTAACAAGATGCATAGGATATGAATGTTAATATGGTTAGGAATAAAGTTTTAACAGGATTTTTCTAATGCTAAATGTGACAGTTCTAGAATATTCTAAGATAATTTTCATAATGTATTAACGTATCTAAAAGGTTTAGAAAGAAATAAACTAAGCTGAGAAAAGCCTGAACTCACTAGTTTATCATTATAATAAATTGGATAAGATTAAAACGAGAGGTCGAAATTCTTTGGCTACTTAGTTTATTCAGTTACTCTATTTGAGCACATAGGCTAGATTTAAGCCTTTTAGTTGCTATGGCTCCCTCAAATTTTGATTATATAGAATTAGAGAACCTAATGATTATTTCGAATACTCTCATTGCATCCACTTCATATCCCGTTTTCATTAGATGTAGTACTATAGAAATACGAAGCAAATATTTTCCTTTGAGCTAAAGGTTCTTTGGAGCATATTCAATTCAACGTGTAGATGCCTGTCTTTCTTCCTGTTTTTTACAAGTACATGTGAATTGATATAACCAGTTAAAGGTGATACGTGCTAGCTATTTATCTACCTAAGTTTGTGTTGTTGGACATCGCATTCTATGCAACAGAAACAATTTAGCAGCAGAAAATATGTCCTTCGAAGCTATCTTAAGTCTTTGATTTTAGTCATGATCATGTGACTCACGCTTGACATGCAGGTATAGTCAAGCCAAATCGCATGAATATGGTGTACCACCTGTTTCTATAATTAATTCTTTGTCATAAATTGACCCGATGGTTAGCTAGCAAACTTGAACCAACTTATAAGAAGTTGGCTGTATACAGTTTAAGGGATACGTTTGAGTTTGCAATAATTGAAAAAATAAATATATCAAATAAACTTATGGTTTCATACAAAATATCTTCACTGTTTGCCATTATCCCTTTGGAAAAAACAATTGATATTATCAGCCAACACTCACAACACATATCCATACGGCGGATGCAATTTAGACATCTACTATATCTATGCACAGAAAATGTTCAGTTCCAATTTAATGGTAAGTTATACTGTCAAGCAGACGGTTTGGCTATGGAAATCCCTTCAGGACCAGTCGTAGCTGATATATTCATTTTAAATGTATAAGGTCCAAAGTTAATGTCCTCTATCAGCGAGATTGTACTTTGTGTAAAGTGCGTTGATGATACTTTCGTGTTGTTCAACGGCATAAATCATGTAAGCCAAATACTTGAAACTTACAACTAAGTCCATTCCAGTATCTGATTTACATTGGAACATAAGAGAATATATGTTCCACACCGTAGATCTAAGTATCTCTCGCAGAAATGATGGGACATGTCAAAGATACATATATCGGGAAAAAAAACGTGGAGTGGGCAATACTTTCATAGCATTCGCTCTTTAAGTTATAAATACGGATACAAACTTAAATTACTCATCTTGTAATGCTTTGCATACCTGTCACCTTTTTCTTTGTGTAAAACAGCCCTGGGGAGTTCGACAAATAACACGACAACCCGGATTTTTCGAATATTTGCTTAATCGTCAAACGGAACTCGGATTTCCAGATAAAATACAACTTGTGCAAGCCAAATTAGACATTATGAACAATATGCTGAAGACATACAAAGTATGGAGTTGTAGTGAATGTAAATCATTCCAAAATTTGATTGACAGACAACAGTTGAAACTAATACAGCTTTATATAAAGGAAGGATTATGGGGTGTTGTAAAATCTGAGGCTGCGGTGGCTCTTGAACCTGGCTAACTAATTGATAATGTAAAGAATGTAAACGATATATGCAAACATATTTTTCCTTTTTGTTGGTTGGTTTTCTTAAATGTTGTGATTCTTAACTTCTAGTGATATGATTCACATATCAATTCTTTAAAATAAGAAATTTTTACAACAACCGACCAGCTAGTAAGTGCTTCTTCAGCTTAGTCGTTGACTATTGTATTAATTCAATAGAGATCTTAAGACAAACTGATATCAAAAACAGATTACCAATTGAACCTGTCCATAAATTCTGCACAGAATAAAATCAGCACAATTATATATCGTTGACAAGTACCAAGGATTCGTAGTATGATGGAGTATTTTAATCTTTTGGAAATCAGAGTACAAACAGTAAAATTCAAGAGAATATTATGTATCGTACGAAACATCCAGATGTTTTAAGTCCATTGAATCGACCAGTAGTCTAGTCTCACATTAAACGGCAATAGCAGTTACTCAGCGTTCTGAAGGGTAGTTGATGATAAAATGTGATTAAGAACTGTCTCCGAAATGAACGTATAGTCTCACTGAAGTCAGAACAATAGTCTTAGTCACTAATCTTGCTTTTGAAATCACTAGCCTGAAGTGGATTTATTATTATAAATATAATCTCATAGTTAAACCAACGGGATAACGCAATAATTCATTGATTATTAACGTTAAAATTCGTTGCAAGAACGTTACTTTTAACAGAAAAAGTGATAACATATTTCTTGGTATTTATTACTACATGTTCGACAGTCACTGATATCTGAAATTAGAATGAAAAATTTACTTTTATAGTCCTCCCTGAATAAATCACTCCGAGGCATACGTTAGCCCTCAAGTTGATTCCATTAATAACGATGACAGTGAATGAAATATATGCGTCCTAACTTCGTATATCTCCTGTCACCTAATTAAATTAACACAACGTTGAAGTCGAATATTGTTATTATTATTATTATTATTTGAACACATAAACACCGGTACAAGAGGGAACCAAATATACATGCGCCACACAAAGAAAGTGAGATTGTAAAGAAATAAAGGAAAGCATAATAAAGAAACACCAATGGATAGAAATAAGTGTATGAGAGTGAAATAATAATAATGGTAGGAGAAACAGTTCAGTTAGAAAAAATGTAACCAGAAAAATTCATTCAGTTAAAGAAGTTACGTTCATATTTATATAAAAAGTAATATAAATTTACAGCAGGGTCTCCACTGGTTTCTATTTTAAGCCATTCATGGAAACGTCTGAAGCCACTGTGCTGCACCTTAACCACGGAGGAATTCGTACAGGGTCAACAGAAACCAGTGTTGTGCAGCTTTCTTTCATGCCACGACACCATGTCATGCACTGACCACCTCCGCTCTTTCCAACCAGTCCCAGCGTCGGCAAATAATGCACGACGTGGAATTCTGTGGGACGACATTCGTAGAACATGTCCAAGTCATCGAAGTCAGTGTTTCAAAATGGTGACCAATTGAATTTTCACCGCTGTGCCCCGAACATGCGTTGTCGAACCTCTGCGTTATCAACGTGGTGTTGCCACTAGATGTCAACAATCCTTCGGAGACAACGATGATGAACCAGAGAGAGTCGTCTAACATCCTCAACTCGAAGAGACCAGGTTTCACAAGCATAGAGCAAAACTGCTCTCACCGACACATTATGGATCTGACCTTCAACAGGCAACCTGACATCAGGAATGAGCCAGAAATTGCCCAGGTTGGCATAAATCTATCTGCTTACTAGCAGTGGTAAGTGCATGTACAGGGTCTTGCTAGTCGTGTAAAAGTACTCTGCACTTAGAAGGTAGAAAGAACATGCCATACTTACGGACTCTGATTGCCAACTAAATAAGTACGTATTTCATGACTTGGATATCGTCGTACCGTAAGACGATGTCATCTGCATATTCAAGGTCGACAGGTTTTTCTCTAGACGACAGATCCGCACTACCGTTATTTACATCCATCATAGGTGTATTCATCACGTCATCGATGCCCAAGTTGAAGAGGAATGGTGAGATTGGGCAACCATGCCTAACCTCACTACTTGAATGAAACAGTGGGGAGAGTTGGTATTATGCCCATACTCTAAGGTGTTTTTTTATAGGACACATCTTTCTTCAATACACAATCCCAGGGAACAGTCCTGATGTCAAAAAACACTACGATTGTTGACCTGTGATAAGTATGGCGTTGTTCTAACATTTTACAAATAGTGGAAATATAACCAATATATCCTCGACTGGAACAAAATCTAGCTTGCTTCTCGCGAGTCAGTGTTTCTCAAGTTTTGAACAATATATGAAATATGACGGAAGTCAATAATTTGGACGCAATCGGAATTAATCTTATTCCTCGATAAGCGTTGCACAAGTCAAATAGTCCCCTTTTAAATATAGAGACGACTATCGACGCATTCCAGGGTTTCGAAAGACGGCTTTCCAAACTTTTGCATACAGCTCAGTCAGACTCATGGCCAGGTCGCTACTATCCTTAAAAAGGGATGGAGGTGAGTCATCTGTGCCTGGTGAATAAAGTATTAAGTGGAACACGAACTGTAGTGGGGACGCGTATATTTCAAACATTCATTTGAGCAGGCTGACTAAGCATGTAAATATGGTAGTTGAATAGACGCAGATAGTAAGAGCCTATTTAAAATGTTTAAATACGAATCAAATAGACAACGCACAGATTACAGATAAGGGAACAGACATGCACACATACATTTATGATAATGTCTGTTAACAGTAAATAATTTACAAGAACGAACAAGTTATGTATAGTAGTTCACGGAATACGTAGTCAGCGTATTAGTCTGTTCAAACATTAGGAAAAATTCACTTAGACGTTAATAAGGTTTCTAGACAAGTCACTAAATAATCGTCTCATCGATTAAATAGAAAACTCGCAGGCAATGCATCCCTAGGTTCCTTATAGGCGTATTATTTTCATTGACATTTTCTCTCCCGCTTGTGTCATGACAGGATAGCAAGGATTATTACCCCAAATTTAGCATAGACAACTAACATAAACGTCAGTCAGATACATGTATAATAGTAACGTAGTTGTCCTACCCATAGTTTTCTGAAGTTCATAACATTTACAAATTTATTCTCACTTAATAGGTTCGAATTTTTAAGCACAAAATTCCTAAGTACACACCTGATAATCTTGATGGAGATTGACTTCGTTTAGTGACATCCATTAGTGGTATGTATATCGTCGGAATCTAGACTCTACATGAATGGTTGACCTATATTTCACTATTAGAAATGATAATCGACCGGCCGATACCGTTACATAATGGTAATTCTACGAAATCTTTGCAAATTCACCTGTCTATTGTTGTATCTGTTTATGATGATCATACTACTTCAAATGAAAAATGTGGAAGCATACACTGAAAAATATATATTTACAATTTTTTCTCAATCTCATAATATTTAATCCTCAGTAACTTTTCTCTTTTTATTGCCATTATTGATATCTGGTTGACGTTTTCGTTTCAGAACACGCACTTTTTGGCTGTCCTTTGGTGAAGGCACTGTTTTAATCGTTGACTTAGATTTATTAGCGTTATTCTTAAGAGATTTCTTTTTTGCGTTGACTTCATTTCGTTTTGGTTCAGTTGCTTTATTCGCCGGTTTCCTTTTCATTAAGGCTTTTTCTTTACGCTTTTGTTGACGTTGTTTCTTGCGTTCCATTTTAAGACGTAATTTTTCTTGTCGACTTTCAGATTCATTAAATATGCTTTAACAAAAAATCAGAAAAGAATGATGGATATCATATACTTCGGGATTCAGAATAAGGCAAAAAAAAGAACTGCGAAAAATGAAACAGCATTGATGTCCTCTGCTTGGTTACGACAGAATACGATATACAACTAACGGCACTCACTTGAACGTGTAGAACACCACCGTCGCAAATCAGAAGATGGATGAAGTAGGGGAAGTGATTATTGGGTAAGAATCAAAAATGTACAAACAAAAATGAGTATTTATAGCTATTAGTATGGACTGTGACATTATAATTCAGCCAATCTAGAAGTAGTTGTGTTGTCCAATTATAGCATGCCACGTTGGTGTTCTACGAGACTATCAGGTTCCGATTGAATGGAATCTCTTCGGCTTCTTTAGAGTCTCTGGAGGCTTCGTCGTGCTTCTTGAAGCCATCCCGACAGTTGGTACAGTCAATTTTTGGGATACAAATAAGATAAATAGACTCCGATACAATCAAAGTGGCTTGCTAGCTAAACGGCAGTATTAACAGTGACCTTTGTAAATCAGGAGTCTTAGGCAGGTGTTTTTTTTAAATAAGTTACAATCTACAAATTACATAAAATTGATGGAGATTACTGGTTACATTGAGAAAATGGATGGAGTTTTAATGAAGACAATCTCTAGCCTAGTAGTTGTCAGTCAATAATTAGAATTTCTTTAATTATAAAATCGCAAGTGACCAATTTATATCAAATCATAATAGTATGTGCGAAATTATTCAACTCACCCAGATTTACGATTGTTCTCTTTCAACAAGTTTAAAAAGCGTCGTGCTGTAGATCTGATAGGTTTTTGTGTTGATGGAAATTTCTCTAGAAGTTTAACAATATGATCTTGAAGAAACTAGATAACAAAAACCAAACAAATGGATTTTTTTCAATATACAACTTCCCTGTTTTCACTTTATCAAATGTATAATCATGACTTATAACTAAAGGAGTCGCTCAAGAGAATTATATCGTTTAATTTTTTATCCTTAAACCACCGTGCCCAGAGAACGCAATTTCAACAAAATCTATAGCAGTTATAGGCGGATGAGATCGAACTATATCAAAACAACTTTTGAGAAAAGAAACAAAGTCAAATATCGAGAGATAAGGAAAATAAGATATTCCTTATTAAAGCAGAATACAGTAAGAAAATAATCAAACAGACTTACGGAATGCATACTTGCGCAAGCTACACGTCATAAAATGCTGATACATAAATTATGCTCTCATGAATATCTATTTCTATCAGCGTTAAATACTTAATTCAGCTGTATAGTTAAAAAAGCTTAGATAGACGAGTCTAACTGGTTATCGAGGATGGAAACAAACGTCGGTCAAGCCGTACAAAAGTTTTCCCAGTTCTCTTGATGTCATATTGCATTGGTGTTGTTGCTTGTCAAATTTCTCGTACCTTATTTGCATTTAAATTTGGCTATATTAAGAACCATTACAGCGAATACAAACTTTTGCAGTGTAACTATGAATATTATAATTAACGATAAGAATTCAGTTAAGTATCCAAAAATTCAGCGGACACTTTTGTGGTCTCACTAAAACTAAAATACCCACTTGGAAAAACATTGATAGAGAGAAGAAATATTTTTTTCCAGCCAGTTTTTCATTAAGGCTATACACTGACGGTTATGTGTTTTACAATGAAAATAAAATTGGTGACGGTCAAGTAGTTGTGGATAAGACAATAAGGAAATTCAAGAGTTTATGAAAATAATCACGAATGAATGAAGAAGTAATTAAAAGATAAGATGGATGAAGTAATATTCAAATCCATTGATTAGTAAAATAATTGGATATATGCAGTTATGGGGTTGACATATTACATAATGTCTAGTGAGAGAACTGACCGGGTTCTGATAAGAAAATACTAGGGACATTTGCATAAGAGTTGAGATAGCAATGTTGCGGCTGTGCAAGAGAATGAAGCAAAAGGAAACTTGAAATGGACATTAGCGAATTGTTTGTAACCAAGTCTAGTACTCGTTGTGTTGATGACCGAGGTAAAGAGATGTACAAATTGCTTCTAGGTATAAAAAATCCAATTTGTATGCTCAAACCATACAGGAAATTCAGTGGAATATAATGGAATACTCGGAAGGTTATATTTGCTTTTATTAAGATTGTGAACCGATCAATGTTAGACCACCCTTGAAAACCTGGAAGCACTGGATGGCCGAGTCCTGCGTGCTGAGTAGTGGATGCGCATTGTTGAGGAGTCCCGTGCTAGGATGAAACGGCCGTTCAGTGCCTTCAGGTTCTCAATTGTGGTCTAACGTTGATCGGTTCGTGATCTCAATAAAAACTCAACAATCTCCATAATCATATATTGATGGTTATATTTATGTCTATTTGACATCCTCTATCAACCAGGCAGAGATCTGGATCAACTTTAATTGCACTTTGTTCAACCAAGTAGAATGATGCTTGGAAATTCGAGGACGAAACTGTCCAATATCCAACCACCACTGTACTTTTGTTGCTAGTGTCATTTTGAAGTTACAATCATCACCAAAGAAAATGAACTAGGAATAGACCTTGAAATCAGTAGGTGTTTAATTAAATAGTAATAACTGTGTAACTCAACTACCAAGTACGCTTTTTGCACTAGATTTCGAGTCATACTTTCGGTGTGAGGGATAGTAATACTATCAAGTTAGAGGTATAGAGTAAGAAGGAATTTACCTTTAGTACAAACGAAAAACAGGAACATATACCGTCACTGTATGTATATTAATGGATATGAGAATAGGTAGCACAGCACTAGGTATCTAGTTATAAGAGCAGGTGCATGGATAGAATGTACGTAAAAAACCCTTAATGACAATAATAATAATAATAATAATAATAATAATAATAATAATAATAATAATAATAATAATAATAATAATAATAATAATAATAATAATAATGATAATAATAATAATAATAATAATAATAATAATAAACTATATCAGCCTACCGTAGACGAAGCATTCTCATCAAGTTTTACAATACACATAAGTAGTTCGAACAAGGCTAACGATAATTTGAGACGATTGTACCAGACGTTGTTGTTCACTGAACATTGGCTAGCTTTCTCTGCTGTTTGCAACACTTCAGCTAGTTTGACACTGAGTTTCCTTGACATTTTCTTAGCTTTTAACTCATTTTTATTTGACTTGAACATATGAGTAACTATTTGGAACAAATTAACGAGATTACAACTTTCGAAACCATTAATTTTAACTTCGCGAATATCATCTAAACTACCGATTATTTTTTCGCATGCTTTCACAGTAGTTTCGACAAGCAATTTTGAGGCCTTGTGTGCAAATGTCTAATAGATTTCGAAATAAAATTGTATATTAAATGAATAAGAATAATCCAGTGAAATCGTACAGTACATAAAAGTATGAATAAACATTCTTAAAATAAGCAAACTTATGTTGATGAAGATCAGAGCAACTTGATCTGGCTGTACAAGAAATATTGAAGTTTATTATTTCTATTGATGGTAATTCTAAGGCTCTTTATTGATGCAACTGATCTAAGGAATGTACGGGTTTCGAAAAAATACAAGTTGAAATGAAGTATGTATGCTAACCAAGTGGCTTTATTCACTTAAAGGCAGCATGAAATATGCGGTTGACTTACAACTTAGTGTAATAACTAGTTTCAGATCAACTCCGTCTTCTCATTGCTCTATCGAAATTTACAAAAGGGACTAATCGTTTTAATTTCTTTGCGTTGTATTTTGGGTTATTTGTGTGACTCCAAACAAACCTGTTCGATTAAGCAATTAAGAATAGGATATGAATGTTAAACTGTATTTAAATTATTTACAAATCCGGAAAGAAGGTCGTACAAATAATGAATTTGACTATTTTAGCGCAATTCAATGTTCATCTAATATGCTGATTTAAGGCCGGTAAGCTAGCGATCGGCTCGTTCAATGAGCTGATGTCTTAACAACCAAATCACCATTATGTTTTTCTGGTGTACTTCCATACGTCGAGTTCATTTCATAAACAAAATGTTTCAAAGTTACTCCCAATATACTTTATCAGTGTGTTGAAATTACTACTAATCAATAACATTCGACCTTTCAAAAAATACTTGACAAGTTTAGGTCTAAAAAGATCACATAATCCCAAGTGAATCGCAATCGGTAATTGCTCTCAGAGAGATTACACAGATATCGTCATGAGTCCACATTTTTCTGACATTCTGTAGAACCATTCAGTCAAACAACGTATCGGCAACGATAAAACTGGTATTTAGTGAAGTAGGTGTTCTGCCTTGAAGCATAAGGTTGCCTTCACACAAAAGAGCTAAGTATCGAATATCCAAACCCGCGGAATGAATTCTAATGATTTATCAAGTGCATATCGAAATGTGCATTATATATATATATCACTCTAGATGCCAAAGTGGTTTTCCAGCAGATTGAATTTAAGGTTCATATATTAAAAGGCATAACATTAAAGCGGAAATATGGATTCAGCATCCAAGAAAGAAGGCTCGTAATTCTGCAATATAAGGTTTAAGATCAATTTCCGACACTGTGACTCATGTCTAGACATTCACTTTCGGCTAAAATAAGTGAAAGGATTTCTTTTTGATTAACCTAATAAAATGTGTACCAGGTGCTCATCAAATAAATGTTTCTCATAGATGAATAATAAACGAGTTATATCGCTGGACTGTTATTTTTTCTAGATATACTTCTTTACAAACTGCTTTGGTTTCCTCCTCTATATTACCTGTATAAAGTGCATAGAAGCATGAGTGTGGATGTTCATTCTTTGTTTATCTAAACAGACAGTAAGTCAATATAAGGTTTACCAATTCTAGTTCACTTGACTATTTTAATTTGTCTACAATCAAAGGATAACAAATACATTTATTGGCTTAGTTTTCATAATACGAAATGAAATTATCAACAAGAAATGAAAACTCTTCTTCAATATGAACTCACTTGGCAGTGACTTAGAAGATTAAGGAATAGTGTAGCTTGATGGTTAGTATTACTTAAAACTTCATGAAGTTGTTCTAATAAATAATCAGACAATGGTGATTCCAAATCGGGAAATTCTGCTTTCAACGGTTTCATACTTCGATACTGTACAGGAAAGATACAAAAACAAATTTTAAGAAATATTTGTCAATTACATAGTCAATCGTTGACGTGAAAATGAGCTATTTCCTAAAGACGATTGTAGAAACTTACAATAAATTCTATAATGTTGGATAACAATTCTGTAAACAATTGAGTTCTATCCGCTGAAAAAAAGAAGAGAAAATAGAAGAATAAATAATTAGAAAATTGGCTCTTTACGTCTTTCATTTAATACACACCGAATTGGATGCAATTGAGCATCAAAAAACAATATGCACATTATTAAAATGCTGGGGACACATCGAAAAAATACTTACTTGTTTTGGCCGCATCTATAAGAGATTGCATAATTTTTTTCAAATAAACATGTTGATCAAGGTTCTTGAGAGATTCTATAAACTCGGATTGAGTTTTTTGCGACCTGAAACGCCATTTTCTCACAACAAGTATTATACTTGACAGTGGAGGTATGTCACCATATTTAGCAATAAAACTAGTTTTTCTCTTTTGTTTCTGGTTGATTTTTCTATTTGAGCTTAAATCATTTCGTGATTTGGCTGTTTCATATTCAATGGATCCTTTGCCAATATCAAGCAGAAGATCAAGAGCAGGCTGCAAAATAAAAACAGAAAAGTTCTCGTTTTTATCATAAGAAATTGTTGCACAATGAAGTTACATTTATAGTGATCAGAAAGAAACACGATTAAAGGACAAAACTTTTTCTTGGGGTAAGTAAAATATCATGCACGTAAAAGCTGGAGGTGGCCAAACCAAAACGTGGCGTCCGTTCATGAAGCCATTGAAAGTTGGTCTGATCCATGTTAACAGATGCAAACTACCTGGTTAAGGTCTGCGTAGTAACCGCGACCAATGGTTCAAGACTTTGGGTGATATAGTTCAGATCCATCTACTATGTATCTTCCTCTCGTTCTTGAACTGCAGTGTCCCTTCATCCATGCCTCTCAACCCTGTTTTTTCAAACCATATTCTCAAGGTTTAGTTTTTCTTTTTATTACTTCTTACTACACTATTTCGATCTCTTTGGTTGTTTTCATCTCATCGTGCTAATCACGTACAGAGGATTGGGCCAACGCATAAGTACATTGACATTGTCTGTCTATCTATAAACACAGAGAAAAGAAATATTCACCTTCAACCTTACCAAAACGATTAGGGTTTGATCACTGGTTTTTCCTGAAACATTACGTTTGAATAAGTCAACAAAGCAATAAAGAATTTAGCAAAATAAAAAAGTTTAGAACAATGAACAATTTATCCATTAAGACCTACCAAGACAAGTTGAGGTTCAGAACTATACTGCAGAATACATTCAATCAAATCGAAACATCTAAAATACATAAAAGGATATAGTTATCAATAAGTCATTTTAAGTACACATAAAAAGTAAACAATTTACGAAAAAAATAAATATCTAGTAATAACTGAAGCAAATATCTAATCCGTTTGACACTGGTTTTCCAATGCAACCCATTAAACACGCTGATTTATATAATTAGATTTAAACACGATGTTTGGTGTGAGGACTGGTGATGGGATAAGTATTACACCTAGTTGGGCGTTAATTCTAGTGGAAAGTGAATGAACTATAGTTCCTGCAACTTACAATTGTTTGTTCACTTAATACATTTGACCATGTATATTCTTGTGCTTAGCACTTCGTATATGTGTTTTGTTAAGAAATTATTTTACTGATCAGACATCTCGTTTTCTAATATCAGTTTAATTCGGTGCTTACGTCGATACTTCGGTCTCTTAAATATCAAACACCTGGTCAAATAGCATCACTCCATATCACTAAACGACTAGAACACTTCATCCATTAGTTTTATAATCACTTAACACCTTTCTCACTACAAATGATAAAAGACTGATTTACAACAGCATCAGAGCAGATGTAGTGGGAATCAAACATGTTAACTAATTGCTGGTAACTGGGCGACTTCAGTAAAAATTCCTCCACATAACACTGCCGAATTTAATGTAGAAAACGTAATTATCAAACAGATAGTTGGTGATTTGCAAGTAAAAAGAAATAATCATTTGATTACTTCATTTTCAATTCACCAACTGAACGAGCTTGATCAGCGACTATTCGTTGAGGTTTACGCATATGAATACGAAATGCAGCTGCCAAAGCTTCATCACGTTCAAACATCTCAGCATCTGTGAAGTCCCGGCAATCGTTATCATTATTTTCACTATCTAATGCAGCTGGACCAAGTGCATCACGTACACTATTTTTAATTTGATTAAGTTCATCTTCATCAATATCAATCTCTTCTTCAACTGCATCAGAGTCTGAATCATCTGAGGCTAAAATATTGACAACATTATTAACAATAAGAAATATAAACTACGCTAACCTGATCATCATTTATAAAAAGTACAACCTTATGACATAATAAGAAAATGACTTTTTTCAATTTCAAAAACTTAACCAAAAGTCTTAGTTGGTTCTTTTAGAACTCAGATACACAATTATTTTAATTGTTTACTTTTTATTATAATCATACTTATTTTAAATTATTCTTACTGCAACCAACATCTTATGTTCAGATGTAAGAAGTATAACGTAAACCGTAGTCATTTTAAATAGCGAATTTCCTCAAAAAATAATCATCTGGTTTTTATGTGTTCTCAACAGAATTATGGAGAAAAATAATCAACCGATATACATATCGTTCAACTATTATTGTTATAGTGAACGTGAATTCAGGTACGGCAAACCAATTTGCTGTTTTATGCAAAATCAAACAGTAGCTTTGTAAAATATGAAAATCATACATTGAATACATTATTTACAACATATCTTCCTTCAGCTGTCCTTAAAATACTTCATCATTCGTCTGATCCTGTTATTATTTCAATTGCTCTTCGCTTTGCTTCCTCGTCTCTTTACTTCACTCTTCTGCTGACAAGTATTCTCCTTCCAATGCCTGCCACATAATGTCTGTCTGCATAAGTAGTGCACATCACATTGTAAGCTTGTAAAGGTCAAATATCATCATCATAAAATATATGTAACCCTCTCATGATGTAGACTGTAAATAGTCACAAACAGATCAGTGGTGCATTGGATACCGGTACTATGATAAACATTCGTGTATATTTCACAGACCACCCTGACGTGTTACTGAAAGATAATTTCTCACTCTAAGTTCTTCCTGTAAGCTATCGGGGACGGATCTATTTTTAGTGATGCATTAGTTAACACATTTACACAGTATGACTACTGGGAGTGTTCAATTTCCATTTACATAATAATGCATTTAGTTGTTCGGTGTTGCTAATTTCAATATTTGTATTGGACATCAGCAAACACTAAAGAATAAAACCAATAACCATCTTGATACTAAGTATTTTCAGAAAGATTTACCATACAAGCTACGTAAAACTAGCTCATTTCCGATATAAGTTATTTATATGATTTTCTCTAAGAATCAAAACAGTACTAAAGTATGTTGCGCGGTCCATACCAACAAATTCAAAACAAGTCCTCCCATAACCACCAATAGTTTCTCATGGGAATTAAGACTCCCCATACAATTAAGTTATCATTTTGATTGTGAAGCGGAAATTGCAAACGTCATTAGTACTAGTGAAATAATTAGTTTCAAATTGGAGACTGACCTTAGATAAATATTGAAGAGCAGCACTTAGTCTTCAAAACAAGTAAGGCAATCTGATGCACAGTAAATCATATAACTACGGTTGTTTATCCAAGATGCTTTTAATGAAATCACAATAACTTACTAAGTTGCACCATATAACCCCATAGATAAAAAGTCAGGTAAATAGACCTAAAATAGTAATGACTACTAACCGAATCCCTGGATAACTCAAGCGCGTTTAAGTTCAAAACTGTCATGGATAACTTGGCTAAATAGACTTCCATGAAATGTTGGAAATAAAAGGTCATAAACAGAAATAACTTGGACCAAAATTAAAAAGATCAATCATATAAAACTAACTATCTTGTGAGTTTCTCTCTTGATTAGCAATTTTTTGTTCATCTTCAACTGAGACGGTTTCGTCCTCAAAATCATCGATTTGCATAGACAACTCCTTAGACTGTATTAATTTTGTCGAATTGAACAACGAAAAATGAACTAAATCTTCTTTTTCTGAGTCGTCATCTTCGTCTTCATCATGCTTTGCACGATCAGCTTGTTTTGATGACCGTGTCTTAAGTATATCACCAATTAGTTTTAGGCAAGAAGGATATTCTTCACCTGAATTAATGGTACTTATAAATGCCTTTTCCAAAACCATTTTCTTAAATGTTAAACGGGTGACAGAGCGCAACATGTGGACAGGAAAGGAAAGGGCACTTAGAATCACATCAGTAAGCACTTCCGACCAGTGGGGACCTTCAAATATATTCTCTAGACGCCTTTTTCTGCATTCAACCAAATCGTTCAAGATTTCAAACGTGTCTACAAACAAAAGGAAATAAAAACAAATCAAAGAATCACATCATACCTTAACTTTTATGTGTAACAGCTACGGAAAAGTGACGGCTAACAGAACCTCCCAAAAATCCTGTTTTTATAGACCATACTATGAAATAAAAATATACTTTATTGAGTTTATTTGTTCACATAATACAACCCTTAACTCCGCCTGGAGTCCCTCCGGGGGCTACTGCCGGTCCCAAGCCCGGATAAAGGAGGAGGGTTGGGCATGGGGTTAGCGTCCCCATCCCGTAGAAAACTAACTCGCTAAAAAAACGCTAACCAGAAAAAATTATTCAAACCTTTTAAACTCTGCCCTGGGAGTCAGAAGATCTTCATTTAGAAGAATTATGACGCCTCATGATGAAAGCCGAATCCCTTCGGAAGTTATGAGGCCGATGCCCCTTCTGACAACCAGAGCAACCATTTATTTAGGTACATGGAATGTTCGTACAATGTGGGACACCGGGAGAGCCCTCCAGATTGCTGCAGAAATGAGAAGATACAACCTAGAGGTACTTGGGATCAGTGAAACACATTGGACACGAGTTGGACAACAACGACTAACTACAGGAGAGCTCCTGTTATACTCCGGCCATGAAGAAGAAAATGCACCACATACACAAGGAGTTGCATTGATGCTGTCCAAACAAGCACAAAATGCACTTATAGGATGGGAATCTCATGGACCAAGGATCATCAAAGCCTCGTTTAAAACAAAGAAAGAGGGCATTTCAATGAACATCATCCAATGCTATGCACCTACCAACGACTGCAATGAAGACGCGAAAGATCAATTCTACAATAGGCTGCAGTCAATAGTCGAGAAGTGCCCAACAAAGGACCTGACCATTCTGATGGGAGATTTCAACGCCAAGGTTGGAACGGACAACACTGGATATGAAGACATCATGGGACGACACGGACTGGGAGAAAGAAACGAAAATGGTGAGAGATTTGCAAACCTATGTGCCTTCAATAAGCTGGTCATAGGCGGCACCATATTCCCACATAAACGCATACACAAAACCACATGGACTTCACCGGATCACTCTACACAAAACCAAATCGACCATATTTGCATCAACAAAACGTTCAGGAGGACTATAGAGGACGTGAGAACCAAGAGAGGAGCTGATATAGCATCAGATCATCACTTACTGGTCGCCAAGATGAAATTGAAACTCAAGAAGCACTGGACAACGGGGCAGACAGTATCACAAAAGTTCAATACGGCCTTTCTCCAGGATACTAATAAACTCAACGAATTCAAGATAGTCCTCAGCAACAAGTTCCAGGCCTTTCATGATCTACTCACTGGAGAAGGAACTACTGTGGAGAGCAACTGGAAGGGGATCAAAGAGGCAATCACTTCAACATGTCATGAGGTCCTGGGTCACAAGAAGCACCACCACAAGGAATGGATCACTGTTGGTACACTGGATAAGATTCAAGAAAGAAGGAACAAGAAGGCAGCAATCAATACCAGTCGAACAAGAGCAGAAAAAGCCAAGGCACAAGCTGAATACACGGAAATAAACAAACAAGTGAAGAGGAGTATCAGAACCGACAAACGTAAATATGTGGAAGATTTAGCAACGACGGCGGAAAAGGCTGCAAGAGAAGGAAACATGAGACAACTGTATGACACGACAAAGAAACTCTCTGGAAATCGCCGCAAAGCAGAACGACCAGTGAAAAGCAAGGAAGGCGAGGTAATCACCAACATTGAAGAGCAACAAAACAGGTGGGTAGAACACTTCAAAGAACTGTTGAATCGACCAGCTCCACTGAACCCACCCAACATCGAAGCAGCACCCACGGACCTCCCAATCAATGTTGGCCCACCAACAATTGAAGAAATCAGCATGGCCATCAGACAAATCAAGAGTGGCAAAGCAGCAGGACCGGACAACATCCCAGCGGAGGCACTAAAAGCAGACGTAGCGGCAACTGCAAGGATACTCCACATTCTCTTCAATACGATTTGGGATGAGGAACAAGTACCAACAGACTGGAAAGAAGGACTACTGATCAAAATACCGAAGAAAGGCGATCTCAGCAAGTGTGATAACTACAGGGGCATCACTCTTCTCTCAATACCGGGAAAAGTCTTCAACAGAGTATTGTTAAACAGGATGAAGGACTGCGTAGACGCCCAACTTCGTGACCAACAGGCAGGATTCCGTAAGGATAGATCGTGTACAGACCAAATCGCAACCCTACGGATCATTGTGGAACAATCAATTGAATGGAATTCATCACTCTACATCAACTTCATTGACTACGAAAAGGCATTTGATAGCGTGGACAGAACAACACTATGGAAACTTCTTCGACACTACGGCGTGCCTCAGAAGATAGTCAATATCATACAGAACTCATATGATGGATTACACTGCAAAATCGTGCATGGAGGACAGTTGACAAAGTCGTTCAAAGTGAAGACCGGTGTTAGGCAAGGTTGCTTACTCTCACCCTTTCTCTTTCTCCTGGTGATCGACTGGATCATGAAGACGTCAACATCTGAAGGAAAGCGCGGGATACAATGGACATCTAAGATGCAGTTGGATGATCTAGACTTCGCAGACGATCTGGCCCTTCTATCCCAAACGCAACAACAGATGCAGGAGAAGACAAACAGTGTGGCAGCAGCCTCAGCAGCAATAGGTCTCAATATACACAAAGGGAAAAGCAAGATTCTCCGATACAACACAGCATGCACCAATCCAATCACACTTGAAGGAGAAGATTTGGAAGATGTAAAAACCTTTACGTATTTGGGCAGCATCATTGATGAACAGGGTGGATCTGATGCAGATGTGAGGGCGCGGATCGGCAAAGCAAGAGCAGCATATTTACAACTGAGGAACATCTGGAACTCAAAGCAACTGTCAACCAACACCAAGGTCAGGATTTTCAATACAAATGTCAAGACAGTTCTACTATATGGGGCAGAAACCTGGAGAACTACAAAAGCCATCATCCAGAAAATACAGGTGTTTATCAACAATTGTCTACGCAAAATACTTCAGATCCATTGGCCGGACACTATTAGCAACAACGTACTGTGGGAGAGAACAAACCAGATCCCAGTGGAGGAAGAAATCAGGAAGAAGCGCTGGAAGTGGATAGGACACACACTGAGGAAAGCACCCAACTGCATCACAAGACAAGCCCTCACATGGAATCCTGAAGGTCAAAGGAAAAGAGGAAGACCAAAGAACACATTACGCCGAGAAATGGAGATAGACATGACAAAAATGAACAAGAATTGGATGGAACTAGAAAAGAAGGCCCAGGACAGAGTGGGTTGGAGAATGCTGGTCAGCGGCCTATGCTCCTTTGGGAGTAACAGGCGTAAGTAAGTAAGTAAGTAATACAACCCTTAAAGTGTAGTTTACCAATGCGATACAAGCATTTACAGTACAATGAAAGTATGCTCCTTTTACGATACGAGCCTGTCTTCAAGAAATACTCCTAGAATTGGTATTGTTTGTTTGAATCTTCCCATCGGTATTGAGAATTGAAATTGGTCAGTCTCTTATTGGCATATGTGCATCTTGTGCGCATTGCCTTGATTCACAGGGCTATCAGGACTTAGTAGCTAAGATTCTACTGCTCACCACTATTCAAATGTTAAAATCCTCACCTCTGCGATTATCTTTTCAACCTAAATCAAATTCTCAGGACAGATAATTTACATCTTTACGTTTTTTCATAAATTCAGTATTCCTTCACTCAACAACATTCTAACTTTGTAATATATAATTCTTTTTTCATTTAAAGTTTGAATCAACTCAACAGCGCTTAGATAATCTTACTCAGGTGGAAAATTTAATGAAACAAGGCGATTCTCCTATTGTAAAGGTATTTGTCAGTTTGTTATTTTTTATTTCCTGCAATTCCATTCATTTTTAATTTACTCACAAAACAGATTATTAACACGCATTGACCTTTCCATATATCATTCATTGTTTCTGTTATTTCTCAATTTTTGTGTCAATTATTCATGTGTTCAATACATTGGTCTTTTTGAACTGACGTCTCAACAATTTCTGTACAAGCTCATCAGAAGAAATAATTGCATTCATATCATAGACATAAGCAATTGACTAATATTTACCATCACACAAATCTCACAGTGTGCAGGACAGCTTGTCCATAAAGTATAATTTTCTGCTTCTTCTTTGAGTTGATGGGTCTCGTTTGGTTTGTTTAGTTATTAGCAAACGGGTAAAAAGTTCTTTGCTTGATTAGTTTTTAAACTTGGATCATTGTTGGCATTAGATTTATTGTCGATCCAGGAGTTTCCTTAAAAACAGCTCCTCCATTATTTTAATTGCAAAATCAAGGATTTTCAGTTTATATCAACCAATATCATACCAATCGTATTAAGACTATTTATTTTTGAAAAGTACTTACTTAAAGCATGTTTGATCTACTATTTATAAATGGTAGAGCTAAGAACTGATTATATATATTTTCTGTCTATAATGAATGGAGTATGAGCGTCTTTCTTACAACATTACTTATAAATCAATCTACAGTGGATATTTATAGCACTTGCAATATTGTTGAGGATGTGCAATCCCCAAATACAACTAAGAGAAATGAAATCAATATCGATTAGGATGGGCTCCCGTCAAATTAAGTTATTCATTGTGAACTATGGTTATGAACTTTCAGTTCATCTTTACCTTGATTTGTATTTAGTGACAAATACCCAGTTCAAAAATCCTAACCAACCTAACTGATGTATAATCGATTAACATGCATAGATTTTCAATGATTGGTATACCAGTGTCATTAAAAAGTGTTCATTACTACACTGGCCTTATTCTTCTAGTTAGAGGGGTGGGGAGAAGAGTACAGAGGTGGTTCTATTCATTGTACTGTAGTCGGAGTTGCGATACCTCCTCATGGCACATAAACGTATCAGTTCTCACCAGACTTTTCATGATCTACTGCCTAATTCAGTTCCCACAACTGCAAGTTTCTCCTGAGTGGTTAATTGTTACATATTCACATACGTCAACATTAAAATACCGAATTCTGCGACAATGTATCTCACCTTCGATCGGCATGGAGAGAGAAAAAACAGAAACAGCCCCGCACATTATCAGCATGTACTGATCCAACTGATCCTCAGAATCTACTTTTTGGAGAAGCTTAAGGGATCGTTTCAACGAATCCAGACAAAGACTAATATCTGTGTTAGAAGAATGTGTGGACATAGCCCTAGTACATTGTGGGACGGCATTTTTAAGTAGGGATACACAATGTCTAATTATGTCCATATTTGTAATGTTCTTGATAGTCTCCTGACCAGAGTGTTTATTGATCGTAACTGCTTGCAATACCATACAATCTAATATCCCAAATAAAACACCCCAGCAAAACTTGGCAACATTTGTTGAGATCGGTGTCTTCAAAGCGGTGTTATCAACCTTCAATGAATAAGTCATACCAATAGTTAGTAGGAACTCCAGAATCTGACTGAGCAATTCAGTTCCTTCCGTGTATCTGAATTTTAGGATTGTGTTTACAACTATCTGCAAGTGCTTAATTACGAAACATTGAATAGCATCATAATTTAAGTCAACTGATTGGATTTGATTTGGATTCTTTAAGCCACGTATGTTGCGTACATTTTTGTTTGAATATTGAACCTCAGCATTGATAAAAGCATTTGTTAACTGTTTAACGTACAACTGAAGAGTATCTAACGATAGTGACGATGGTGCAGAATCAAAAATAATCTGCAAATTAAAAAATTAAATCATTATATCAAGCAAAAATATACAATTTCGTAATCCAACAACCTTAACAATGAGTTTTCAGCGTTAGTGAAACAAATGATACATGGTATCTATAGTAAAATCATGTATACCATCTATTGTACTATTTTCTGATAGAACATACTTGAAGCAAAACAAATCATATCGGAATTGGTACATCATTTAGTACACTAAATAAGTGCTGGTCGAAATCAGGGACCACTAGACTTTTTCTAATTTAGTTAGGTTCAATATTATTATAGTATTTTACACTACTATTACACTGTCTGTTGGCTAAAAAAACAAATCGTTGAGTAACTACCCGTTGAGAGAAGACTTTTGGGATAAGGTTAAAGGCATTATGATCTATGAACGATACACGAATTAACCAAATTGTTTACACACAATGAGATAAGACTGTGTTTTATTTACATATGATAAGTTGCCTCCTAGATCTTGCAAACATTTATGAAAAGGAAAAATTTGAGAGCGCTTTTCATCAATGTAGCCTACGAATACAAAAGGTCGAAGTTGCTAGTTCATTGCGTTAAATACACAGATCGACTTCCCCGCTCCATTCATAACTTTAATAATTCACGAAATCAACTCCTTTTAAAGTCTGTGTCACTATATCTCTCTATTTGTAGATAAAACCACCCAAAAATTAAACTGTATCCAAAGGGAAAAACCATAAATAGACACCTTACATGATGCATAGTTCACTTACTAGTTACGTTTCATGCAAACATTTCACGATATTAAGCAGCTCGTCATTGGTCATTTCAATTTTATGGATCACTGTAACAACTACAGTTTACATTGCTTTATGAGAGCTAGTCACTAGTACTTTTCTATTTCTGTAGCTTGAAAATCAGCTAGTTGGTCGGAGACCTTTACTTTGAGTTCAATAATCTTGATGTACATAATGAGTTGTAAAATGACCGAAAGTTTTTGAGGTAAAGTGCTTACAAGTTAATGTGGTAGCCACACCTTATTAACGGATCATAGTGATAGCAAGTTGTGCATGTACGAAATGCGACGATACATACATGTTGATTTCAAATAGAAGCCATTCGCTTAGTTATCTATTTGAAAGATTCATAACTTAGAAACATAGAGAAACTTTAAGTGCCTTCTTGAAGTTGTTTACAGCAACTAAAAAGCTCTATCTGATCAATAACCATAAGGTATAATATAAATGTTACTGTAAAAATATGTAGATAATGCAAAACTTGCTAACCTGACATGGCTTAGGGGAGCTAGAGTCGCAAAAAAAGTCAAATAGTGGGTAATTTAAAGCAATCGATTTTAACAGCCGGTCTGGAGACATAGAAACCGCAGATTTCTGGAGATTTTCATCAACATTTGTGGAACCAATAATCTTGTCCATCATCACTCTTAGTAAATGGGAGACTTGAGGGAAATAACTGTACTTGCAATCTGATAACTGCTTGCTGAAACCCTCAAAGACCTCACTAGATAAGACGAAATCAAACTTATCCTCCTCATTACAAATGATGTGAGCGGCAATTTGCAGAAATCGGAAAGTATTTTTGGCTTTATTGGCTTTAGAACATAAGGTAGCTATAATAAAAAGGAACAATTAAGGGTTAGTTAATCAATACAATGACAACATGATATTAATCCCTAGAAGACCACTTTTGTCAGCTTTTAAAGTACTACAAATTAATCGAACAAATCACAGCACTGTTAAGACGCTAGTCGAAACTTTCCAATCCAAACAAAATGAGGCAGTTGTCCAAGTGCTGATTGGAACTAACAAATACTTCATAATAAATAACTAATGACGATGACTGCCATCACGACCGTTTAACCAAGATCTTATTTTTAAAACATCTAAAAAACTGTTCGATATCGGAGACATTCATAGACAGTCTATCTCATGTAGCCCTTATAGTTTTGCAATAGATTATCAAGAATTTAGAAAATACTAATTCAAGTACAAGTTAGCACATAAACACAATTTCTTTTTCCAAGGTGACAAACCTCCGTAATATGAACGACAAATGACTGTGGTAACTATAACTGACGCCCTTTTGTCTGCCTTTGTCTTGTTGTTCATATATGTGAACAGGAGAAACAGACGACCGACGCACTTAGTAGCATAAGACTCTATTTTGACTACCATTAATTCTTTTTTAGTTTTCATCGTGATAGCGATCAATGTTTTTCTTAGACTTAAGCCAACGTATGGCGTTTAAAAAGTAACAACTCTGACCTAGTGAAATAAGGCTTTCAATAGCATGTTGAAACTCCCAAGACCCGGAGTTAGTGTCAACCTGAATAGTGTATTTCAAAAACCAAGAATGTGGTATACAAACAACATGCTCATGCCACATTTTAGAGATTCGAACACAAGTTTTAAATCGTGAGTTGAATGATAATCGACCTATCTTGGTGACGATTTACAGTTGGATCCTTTGATGCTTGATAATGCAACGGGAAATTACTGCTGGTTTACGTATGCAAGCATAATTTAATAATAAGAAATACGCCCAACTATAGTCAAGTTAGAAGTCGCGAAGTAATTATCTGATTAGTTTGTTAAGAAAATTACAAAAGACCTGAGTATATACTGATAGTTGAGATGGAGCACTGATATTCAAAAAGTAAAAGACCACAACACAGGTCAGAGACTCAAATGATACGGTGAATGTAAAACTGAAGTGAACCGTGGTTATTCTAGAGGTTTAAACGATAACTTGGACCATCCACTACATCAACCAAGTTAGATTTTATGGCAGTGGAACACAGAAATAAGGGTAATTGACCAATAGATTTAACAAAATCTAATGACTCACCGCAGACATAACAGCTCTATATTTAAGAAGAAACTAACTAGCCAGTTTATACAGTTTTTATGAACACTATGTTAACAAGAAAACCTGTTCTATCAACAATATATCTTCATAATAATCTGTATTAAAAAATTGCTGAAGGATTTTTGGGTATCATCTTAGTCAGCTTATCCACATACATAGAAAACCGTTGCGTTAAAATGCTCACCTTTGACAGAATCCCAAACAGTACTCAGGATATCGCGCTTTAAAACTTCATCGATTAACCGCATCACAATGGCATCGTGAGAATGCTTGCTAAATAAAGTTAACACGAAAGGTTCTTACAAGAATTCCAAATAAGAGCTTCCTACGATACTGTTTCTCAGATAATTTGAATGCTGGAATATCTAGCTTTTGAAGACGTTTCTGAAAGTACAGTCATATTTATGGATTCAGTACCTGAAAGCGATGCTGAAATGACAGAATGACAAGCAGGAGTTCTCCGGTGATATCCGAGTTTGAAGACATGAGGTTTTGCCATGTTTCTTTCAAAAAACAACTCAATTTTGCGATTAAATGTTTAGGTGCCTAATAAATGTGCATTAACAACTCAAACATTACTTGAAGACTCATTTCCGATATTGCTAAATATGCGGCAGCTCTATGATGAATGGATTTTGTCAACAGGATAATAGGTTGAAGCAATACTTCAGCGAACTCTTCATCAATCTGTTCTTAGTGGCGACAAACACAACGTACCTCCTTTATTCTGCCAGATGCACAAAGCACTCTTGTGCATGCTAAGTACGCTGATTTCACAGACGAACGTTCCTGGATTTCATATTAACGAAATATTTGCTATCTACATTTTGAGTGGACGGCTCTGAGGCAAAAACTTGAACACTCATGGATTCCGCTAGTTCTTTGGTTGAGGTTTCTGTTGGAAAATCTTTGAGGTAACGTATAAGACAGTGCTCATAGCTAGACCTCGTAGACTCATCAAACGACTTTAGACCTTTAACGAGCCTTTGTCTTGTATACGTGAAGTAAGTGGTTTTCACCTAGTCTATTTAATTTGTTTGTATTAACCTACTTCACCCGTTTTACTACTTAACAAATCTACCAGCTTGTTGGAGGCTTCTATCCTCTGGTTTTCATCTCTAGCTGATAATCCCCAGAACAGATCCAAAAAAGTACGGTCAATTTGCATAACGTGATTCCCTGAGTCGTGACCTTCGGAAACAAATTTGTAGTCAACCCCAAAAGGTCACCAAGAGTTTAAACTTTCAAAATTTATTGAGCAAAACCATGAATTGTTTATACTTTTGATCTTAAGCGTGGTTAAGGGAGTCGTTTTTCATGGAACTATGTTGTTCGTTCATCGACTCTTCTTCTTCGATGAGAGGAGTATCCTTTATAATAATTGTGTAAATGAGTATTCACACAATATAAGCTTTTGCTTAACAGGGTTCTGAGTCTAGTAACAGTGGACCACTGATGCCTTCAATTGGGGGACCTGGGTATGTTTGACAAGCGGGACGTGAAGGTTAGCAAATAACAATAAAATAACGTCACAAATCCTTGAGAATATTTTAGGTTTTCTATTTTCCCCGCTCCTCACCAACGACACAAATCTCTCAAAGTACACGAAGTCTCTTGAAGGACTCCTGAGATTTTCCGTCTACTATGTCAGCTGACATTGAATCTCAGTACTTGACTACTCATGAATATTAGGTATACTAACATAGGAATCTTAGAATTTGATAATTTGGTGATGAGATCATTTGAACAAAGTGATTTATTTCTACTGGCATACTGCCATAAGGAAACAGTTACAGGTATTCATTATTCTACAATAAGCTTAGCTTAGACACAAGATTCCAATAACCCTGAGGAATTCGAGCTGTTGGAGGCTGATGAAGTTTGAGATTATCCTAAGTTGAATAACTTGGCGAAACTATCATCTTCCAAACTGACGATCATTAGTTTGGTTTCCAGTAATAACCGTGGCATGGTAAGTAAAAGAACAAACCGGAGTGAAAAGAAGTAAATAATAAGAATGTGCGCGTAAAACAAGAACATAGGTATCTAGGAGGATGATCAAGGTAATGAAAACAACACGAACAGAGGTGATGTGTTTGTGTTGATTGATAATTCCTGTATAAAAGAAATTATTATTTTACTCCACTCTCATCTTCAGAATACAATTCCTTAAGATTTTCCGACGGAGAGCTCTTTAACTTGGACGGTGGTCCATATGAGATTGTCAAAATAAAAAATGGAAAATCCTAGAGAATACTAGTCAACTTGCTAAGTTTAACTGCCTCTAGTTGTCATGCAACCATTCTCATGGAGTCAGATTAAAATGAACAGAAACTAATTGAAGTAGAAAGCTTTTGAAAGTTTCATGAAACGATCTGAATTTTAAAATGTGACCAGAAACGATATTGAAAGTGATAAAACTGACATTTATCGGTGAAAATACTTATGAATCACTTAAGATCTGGCTTTTTTGAAATAATCAGTTTGATTATCATATGAGACTCCCAAGGGTTTATTACTCATTTATGTTAACTTTGCCAATTTCGGATACACTGAGGGATCAATGTTCTATAAAATAGTAGAACATAATAATTAGAATTTTCGGACTTCCATACTTAAACTACAGAAATATGCCGCAAAACGTAACTTTAGAGTCCAGTTGCGAATTTCGCTCTATGATCAATCGATTATTGGGATGGAAATATACTCATCGTTGTCACACCAACTTGGTGTATCCTGGGTCAGAATAAAGGCCATGTAATCAATGAGTTTGTCTCATAACGTGATTTCTATTAAAAAAGTAGATTGTATTGTAAGTTCAGTCATGGCTGTAATTTTTACTCACTATATAGAACTGTATTACGCTGGAATGGTATCCTAAGTCATAAAAAGCTCAGTAAAAGCCGTGGTTGTTTTGAAATAGAGCGTAAACGATTAATGTCACTGAAGAAAGTTTTGTTGTTCTGTAAACTGTTATGATGCCTAAAAGACTGTCGCCATCGGCCTGTGTTAGATAAATCTTGCTGGCTTATAGTTTGTTTTTGTGGTTTAAAGACTTAGTTATCTATAACCATCTACTTTAAGTTGCATGTCTGTTCAAATGAAACAATAATGACGACACCTGTTTAGTTTAGTATACATGACTGTCATATAATTCAGTTTTATCAAAATAGTTTCAGTACTTGAAGGAAAAAATGAAGCAAGTCAGTTAAATAAGTAAAGTTACTCAATTTTTTCACTTCCATTAGTGTGCTCGAAATTGGAAAACGATCAGTATGAAATTATGTGTACTTTAAAGTGTAACAAGCTCCTTGGAGTTAGATTTGAGAACTTAGAACTTGCATATCACAGGCGGAATCGGTAGGATATGACAGTAGTGCATCATATTCATTATATTCTTCATCGCCCTGATGCATCACTAATTCATTTCATTAATAAATTACACGTATGATAGTAGTGACCTTGGCCAACAGTTCGCTTACAAACATAGGAAAAGCACCTCGGATGCTGCTGCAGTCATATATCATAAAATGGTGTTTATTTTGGCGGAAGGTGATAGGTATGATCGGTGTGTATTTGTAGACTATGCGTCTGACTTTGACTATATTTCAAGATCACTGCCATTGAACAATGTCCTCGGTGATAACATCGATGGCTGGATAAACAAGTGCCTGTGTTGTTACTTTCCTGGAAAAGAGCAGTATACAGTCCTGGAGGAGGCGTGATCTACGTCATTTAAATGCAGCCAGCTGTGAACAAACATCAAAAATCTTTTAACAACTAGAAAATTTAGTCTACCATACACTAACTCTGCTTGCATATCTTCTCGTAAAACGAGACGCAAATACATCAGAATACATAAATAGTAATCGAAGGATAAAAGGTGTATAATACGGTATTAAGCACGTACTATGCTTTGCACAAATTGTAATAGATGGCTTTATCTTTGACCAATATTCATGAACATATTAGCAAATCACGGTCATGTTAATTCATCTTTGCTCAAAGACATGTAACTTGTTCATCTGATTATTCTATACGTTGAACTTAATCCAATACTATTTGTTTATTCAGAATGTAAGAGTACTGAACTCTTACATATCTTGCAAACTATTTTATAGTCAGAATCGTAGTCATGTGGAACTAATTACAAAAGGCCACTCTAACATCATCTTCCGGAAGTTTTTTAAAAAAACAGACTTGACGTTCACTTTAATCTAACAACCACTCCCACCGCTTATAATTTATTTGTCTTACCGTTTAATAAGGAAAATTGACAGGGAATGCAGCCCAGCATTGTCAATGTCAGAGTTATAAATGAAATCGTGGTGTAAACGTTTGCTTAATATTCTATTGCTAACCAAATTATTTGTTGATAAATTCGCAAGAAATCCATGAAACACAAGCCTCTTACCATCTAGTTCATATGTAGTGAGCGACACTTAGAAGTAATACAGGACACACATTTTTCACTTCTTGAAGTACCTACAGACTCGAGCCTTAGTATACATTTGTAGTGGCATTGGACAATAGCCACACAATCCACAAAGCTGTGAACACGAGACTACACAGAAGATAGATATTCAATATTTAACGCGGAGAAATACCTAACAATGGAGAAGGCGCGGAGAATGAATTGAATGGACTGGAGTTGATCGAGTGGCATGGCTCGTCCATGCGGGCGTGGTCCATCTCTTACTTTATATCTTCTATTCATATTAAATATATTGTTCTTTCTCTAGCCTAACCTTGTTCCTCATCATGTATTGATAATTGATACGATACAGTGAGTTGGTGTAGTCGATGGTGTGACTTCCACGTAAGATCTTATAGATTAGGCAGTTATATCATGACGAATCTACAATTTTGGGATTAGGTCTATTATTAGAGCAGTACTAATATCATAGTAGACCATAATTCTACATTGGTGAGCCCAACTAAAGAAACGCAACCTATTATTATTAATCCTTATTTCCACTTCAACTTTCTCGATCGGTTTTATATTTATGTTAACACTATTCTAATAGTCCTCTGATTAATGCTCACATGCATTATCGTAATGTTATATTGATTAGTCCTCATGACAAACTAGCTCAATCGATAATAAAAACTGGTCGTCTATATTAACTAATTAGCTTTGATGGTTTGTTAACAAGCTTTAATAGCATTTACCTGCTTCAGCGACATAGACTTGTTTAGACATCAAGCTCTAGCAAATATAACCTGTAAATAGCGTAAATATACATTGACTAGCAATGCAATCAAGGACTAAATAGTTATCTGGATCTAATTCTTAGTGTTCCTTCACTTAACACCTCATCCTGTTTTAAATGCACTATCCTGTAATATCTTTTCTTCCGACCACTGCCTGCCTAATTTCATATTCTCGAGTTCCATTGCCAAACAACAAGGATGACACTTCTCTAAAAACATACGGTGAGTTTCAGCCATAAGTTTTCTGCAATCATAAGGTCATTTTAGATGGCTCGTTCAATGGTGACCGCACAATTATCTGAATTCATTCGGTTGTTCTAATCCGAGCGAGTGGCAAAAACGTCAACAGCATCAAGCACCCTAGGATTAATTGCCATACTGCATGTTTTATTCTGGATACATTTGGATCATTACTACTCCTCACGAATGGCGTTATATATGTCGTCCACTGAATAGTCTAATTTTCAAAAATAACCCAGGCGAGCTCAACTATTTTACTTAATGATTTTTTTACTTAACATGTATATGTTTTCCGGTTCCTTTTGCTATATATTTGTAAGTGTCCCTAGGCTAAATGCAGTAACTCCTTATGGAATGTTTATAACGCATCATATTCCTGCCTGAAGTTTCACAAGCAGTCTAAACTTTAAAACTATTTTCTGGTCATGTTCATTATTTTTAAATCGTCATATACGTCAACAACCTGCATGTTAACCTGGCCCATACATACGTTACACTATATCTTCATGTCTTCTAAACTTAGAAATCATCTGAATCGCCTTTAACATTTATCAATAAACCCATCATAGTCGTTGTTGCTAATCGTATTTGGGTTTATGGATTGGTTTATCATATTAGCAGTCTAAAATGCGAACATAGTTTAGATAATAAGATTAAAAATTTAAGTACTATCAACTGCACTAGTAAAATAAATAAATCCCCATGTAGCTGTTG